TCAACAGACGTTGCATAGGCAAGAAATGGATAGGCTGCATAAAGAATCCAAGAAAGTGTCAGAAACGCCTCAACAGACGTTGCATAGGCAAGAAATGGATAGGCTGCATAAAGAATCCAAGAAAGCGTCAGAAACGCCTCAGCAGACGTTGCATAGGCAAGAAATGGATAGGCTGCGTAAAGAATCCAAGAAAGCATCAGAAACGCCTCAACAGACGTTGCATAGGCAAGAAATGGATAGGCTGCATAAAGAATCCAAGAAAGCGTCAGAAACGGCAGATGAAATTTTACATAGAGAACAAACCAACAAAGAATGTGTGTCAAATAGACGAAAGAGATGTGCGCCACTTGAAAGTGGCATTTCTGTGTTTCATTCAGATGTAAAGAGTGGGCCAGATTTTGTATGCACATGTTGCCATCGTGTGATGTACAGAAAGAGTGTGGTTCAGTGTAATAAAACCAAATTCACAAAAGCTTGTCCTCATGTGCTTGAGAAGGTGTTCAGTGCTGATCTCAGCGACATTAGCATTGATGGTAGAGAGTGGATGTGTAAGACCTGTCATAGATCTTTGTCGAGGGGTTCCATGCCATTGCAAGCAAAGGCTAATGGTTTACAGTTAAGATGAGAAATTTTTATCAGATATTATGATATGAGCAATTTTTTAGCAGATATTTGAGATGAGCAATTATTGGAGATCATGATTTTTATTGCTGACGAATATTTGTGATTAAGATTTATGCAAGTGCAGTTGCTTAATGCTCAGCAGATATCTAAGTTCGCATATTCAGCATTCCAGCGTTATGCAAGCCAAAAGAATGTGTACATCACGTAATCAAGAAAGCTTTAAACCTTACAGTGTGTAGCTACATCATGTATTTATGCAAGCATTACTGCTCCGTGCCACTTCATATCTAGACAGCATGGATGAGCAAGTTTTACTTTCAGTAGAACCTCTTATAAAGGACACCTCTCTGTGCAGGACACCTGTCCTCTAATGTTTAAAATTTTAATACAGGACACATCTTTACTAGAGGAATGCAATGCAGGTGAACAATGTGCAGTGCCTGTCACTATAGAAAATCATCATGTTCAAAGGAATAAAGGACCATTTTCATAGGCCCAGGGTGTTCTTTATTCCACTGTATAGGCTGTATAATAAAGTGAACTGCTTTTGACTATAAGTGTTGTATTTGCGAAATTGTCCCCAATAAAAAAAAAAGGGAGAAAATCAGTTTTCTTCAATGGAACCATAGCTGACGAAACCTCCCAGATACGGCTAGTCGGGTTCGGCTTAGAAAACTCCAGGATTATCAGCAAAAACAACTCCCAGTTCAACTCATTAACTGTGAAGTGAAAGTATCAAGGTATGGTGAAGGCTATGATGTTATGCTGAAGTCCAGCAGTCAAATACGGGAGTCACCAAGGAAGATAGAAGTGCAGTCTTTACTGATAGAAACGGAAGCTCTCACTGCAGAAAGTTCAAAAGGTTACTATGAAGTCAAAGATCCCATTTCAATTTCAGACAAGTCAATGCAAGATGTGGTGTTTTCTGTGCAAGATGTATTTATAGATAAAAGCTCCTCAGCAAGGGTCGCGTTGTGGGAAGATAATGTTGGCATTATGCAGCAGGGGAGGAGCTATACTCTCAAGAATTTTGTTGTTCGCGTTTTCCAGTCTCACAATGGGAGGTGAAGAGGCGGAGCTTATCCTGATCAAGGACATCGGAACAGTAGCTCTTCAATCCAATGCTGCAGACCCTGACTGTGAAGCCGTCCTACATAATGTATATAATGTCATATCCTGCCTATTACCATAGAAAAATTGAGCAATTTTGGTTTTTGCCAACGTATTGTCATTATTGCGCATGCGTAATTAGGCATTCTACAACCTTGGGCTGGAGTTTGTAACTGTCCATTCTCCACCTGCCTTCATTAGCTTATGTAAACAGCTAGCCTAGCCTAGCTTGATTGGCTTAGCTAAACAAACAGCACTGTGGCTATATATCTGGGTCACAGTATACATTGGTATACACACCCACATTGTAGAATATCCCACATATTATCTATTTTTTAGATGCACCATGGATATAATATTAACTGGACCCACTGTACCAAGAGTTCATGACATGACAATGGAATTTACAAGTTTGTAAACAGCACCAAACAGCCTCAGGCAATAAAAACTTGTAAATGGTGTTTGTGCCTCTTACTTGCTCATGGTGGATCCTCTAACAATGAAACTTGGTACACTGATTCTTATAAGGTTGTAAACAACAACAAACAGCCTCAGGCAAAAATACTTTTAAATGGTGTCAGTGCCTATAACCTGCTTATGATGGGTCCTCTAACAATGAAACTTGGTGCACTGATGTAATGTGAATGACGGCAAAACGTCTGAGGCGATAGCTTAAGGTCACTAATGTTACTTTCTTTATGGGCTTATGCCCAAAAATATCCCCTTTTATTGCATAAATGAATGCAGTAAAGAAAGGAAAGGAGACAAGGAAATAAAAGTGTGGAATATAGGGATGCCATAAAAAGTAAGGAGACAAGACAGGGATGACCTAGTGAACATGATGCAGTAGTACAATGGATGATGGCTACATATATACTTTGAACTGACATTGCTTGCTCATGTAAAATTTCCTTCACACAAGCCCTATATTGTCGTCACCTTTACTGTTTGTTTAGTGAAGTGCGAGAACAAGTGAAGTGCGAGGACAATGGTGAAAGGATTCTGTATGTAGATGGCAGCATTGTTAGTTGAGCAAATGTAGAAGTCATAGACTTCACACAATGCAGTCACAACTGAAAACGGAGTAGATGGTATTACCTGTTGAATGTGCTTATGAAATAAATCATAGCTGTGCATCATACACTCGTACTTCGCGAATATAGGGCTTGTGTGGAGGAAATTTTACACGAGCAAGCAATGTCAGTTCAAAGTATATATGTAGCCATCATCCAATGCACCACTGCATCATGTTCACTAGGTCATCCCTGTCTTGTCTCCTTACATTTATGGCATCCCTATATTCCACACTTTTTTAATTCGAAGAATTTTTTATTTACTTGTATATAATTTTACTGCCCATAGCTTTCTGCAGTATCGCGGCATAGAAATAATAGCAAAGGAAAACACGAGCAAACGTTCTGCTCCATACATCTTTGATACTACGTAGGTATATACCATGCCAAGCTCCATACATCTTTGATACTACGTAGGTATATACCATGCCAAGCTCCATACCTGACGGAGTTATATTCAGACAATATTATCTATAATACTCCTCCAGTTTTATGGTATGTGTCTGTGGCTACAGTAGAGGTATACATAATATGCATGCGTCGCTCTGTATGTATGTTTACTGTATGTTTTCTCCAAAGTTCCAAAGTTCCCCACTAATTAAGACATGTACATTATTCTCCCCCCAACTTACTGTTCTCATGGACAAGTTACATGACTACTGTACATACGGAACCATTTTATAGAGTGTGTCATTCAGTAAGTGACTTGTACTGACACTCACCTCTCTATGTGACTGTTCATACATATGTACATAGCAGGGAGAACAGCAGGGAGAGATCGAGAGGGAGAGGGAGAGAGAGTCCCCGATCTCCTATCAGGTTCCTTCCATCTACACACACACACACATTTTACACTTGTGAGTATCACTACAGTAAAATACATCACCCAGGATCCTAACAAGCCCACTTCCCCCTTATAAAATTCCATACCTATGTATGTTTACTGTAAACATTATTCTCCCCCCAACTTACTGTTCTCATGGACAACTGTACATATGGAACCATTTTACAACCTCTATATAGAGTGTAAGTGACTTGTACTGACACTCACCTCTCTATGTGACTGTTCATACATATGTACACAGCAGGGAGAACAGCAGGGAGAGATCGAGAGGGAGAGGGAGAGAGAGTCCCCGATCTCCTATCAGGTTCCTTCCATCCACACACACACACACACATACATCATTTTACACTTGTGAGTATAATGTATCACTAGAGTAAAATACATCACCCAGGATCCTATATAATATAACTAGGAATGCGCACGCGCATATTTTGCCTCGCACCTGCCAGCCAATGCTCTACTGACTGCGCGCGAAGCCAGACTTCCTACGAATCTGCACGCACGGCGGAAGCTAGACTTCCTACGAATGACGGAAGTGACATTCCTAAGCGTGACTAATTGACATTCTTAAGCATGACGACACGTATGAACGTACGCATATCACGAGAATACAACCCGGAGTAGTTGCCTCACGCTAACGCACTCGGCAATCACGCTAACGCGCTCGGCAATAACAAGCCCTTAGGAAATTCCATACCTATGACATCACAACTCCCTATAAATACCCCACTGTGAACTATAGGATTGCAAGTCCCCCAGAGAGCTTCTAATGTATGTGATTGTAACTACTTCAATACAGTACTGTAAGCTGTAGTTTTTGCACGAGAGTCTGTGACATTGGATGTATGGGAATAGTTGGCTAGCCATCAAAGATCTTTAACCCACCGTCCCCAGTTCTCAAGGCTGGGCATCCATGTCTTACTCTTGTGCTTGTATGTGTAGTGCATACACACACACTGTTCCGCTCTAACAGCAGCACCTTGCCCTCCCCTATTACCTCCACAACTTAGGTGCCCTTGCAATGACACAGAAACCATAGAGTAGAATAATAGCTCAATACTGCCCATGCATGTCCCCAAGTAGAGTAGAAGTGAGTCAACAGTTAATGATGCATACACCTTGGACCACTAGGCAGCCACCCGCGGTGAGGTTGGCACACGCCTCCCACAATCTGTAGGACTATCTTCCTTTTCTTCTCATTTATAGGGAGTTGAGATGTTATAAGTATGGAATTTCCTAAGGGGGAAGTGGGCTTGTTACTCTAGGGTCCTGGTGATGTATTTTACTCTGAGTCTAGTGATACTCTCAAGTGTAACAATGGTGAGTGAGTGTGTGTGTGTGTGTGTGTACAGGACAGCAATACAAAGGTGGGCGACAAGGAGGAGGAATGGAAAGAGAAATTTCTCACAAAGGTGAGTGAGTCAGCAGCAGATAGTGGTCAGCAACCTTCTTCTTCCCGCTGTGTGTGTGACTCAGATGAAGGGAATGGAAGATGAGGTTTCTAGGCTCACTTCTCAAATCTCTTGTCTTCAGGCCAAGGTCTGTGTGTTACGTTTGACATTTTCACTTCTGTCTCTCCTCTCTCTCTCCCTCAATTGAATCAGGCCCAGCAGCAGCAGAGGCAGCCTGGTCCTGTTGAACTTGCTGAAACTGCTGCTAAGTAAGTCTTTTACAGCATCCACAATTTGCAGAGGACCAGTTAGTTGCTGAATGATTGTGACTCTTGCGTTCGCTTGCATTTGCAAGCATAACCGTTGTCTGTTTGTCTGTCTTGTCTGTCTATCTGTCTGCAGGGAGGAGATAGAGAGGTACAGAGCTGAAAGGAACATGTTCAGAGCCAAGTACACTGACTTGAAGCAGAAATGTGCCAAGATCCCCCCATGTCCGCCAGGTATACACGCCTCACCTCACCTCCCCCCAAACCTCATGTCTCACTTCCTCCTCTCCTCCCACAGAGACTGCTGAGCCCACTCCCATCTCCTCCCTACCTCTTCATCAACATGTCCCCCCGCCCTCTCTCCCTGAACCTGCTCCAACACAACCTCCATCCTCCTATCCCCTCCCCTCTTCATCTCAACCATATGGATCGTCCAATGACCTATGCCATCAGCAGTAATACATACGTGTGGTTCTCCGTATACAGACATGCTGGACATTACTGTAAACTGTCTTATTGGTGTGTGATATGACATTGATTTGCATATTCTGTTGCCTGTATTCCAGTTTTTGCTGTGAAAAACATTGATTTTTTTAATAATTATGCCATGCGTGCCAGCGAACTCTGCAAAACATAAAAGTTGCTTTTATGGATTCAAGAAAGGATTAAGACGTTTATGAGAGTTATGCGCATGTGTGTTGCACAACTATTCTCCTCCTCTGAACCGCAACTATAGTGCAACCACCACGTTAGTTACGTAAATAAAAATCCTACGGATTAAAACTGAGGGATGGTATAAAAAGAAAGGGAGACTAGATAGGGATGGGATATATACATGAAGCATGGTTAATGAACAGATTTGAGCACGCTGACACCCCCAACCCCATCACACAATCCCCATAATATTATTGTTGCCTGGTGTGATACTCTTATAGGGAATGTGGTGTTTTATAAGGGGGTAAATGTGGGTTATAATGGTTACTAAAAGCTTCACGTTCCCCTGTTGTTTATTTCTACTTTTATACTGCCACATTCCCTTTAATTCCACTTGGACGTGTTGGTTACTCAGTAGCATGGCTTTATTTGTATTGAGTATTGTAATGGTGAATGTCTTTTCAAATGGCAATGAAACAGTTGCTACGGCTCAGCTTACCACCACAGCAGAGGAAATACACCCATCACCTAGGCAACAATATAGGGATTGTGTGATGAGGTTGGGGGTGTCAGCGTGCTCAAAGCCGTTCATTAACCGCTTCATGTATACCATCCCTATCTTGTCTCCCTTTCCTATATGCCCTCATTTTTGGATATTTTATTTACTTGTCTCCTCTCATATTTATAATATTAGAGAGTCGGTAGACTCTCTATATAGGGATGACACGGGTGAAATCTCACGTGATCCGCGTACAAAACGACTAAAAACTCGGTGAGAATCACTTCCTAGGCCTTCAAAACATACTAGCAATAGTCTACGGGCCCATATCTACCTATACATGTCCCCCAAGAGCTCATACGCACCTTCAGTCGTCCACGCGAGAATTCGCTCATACGCGATTTCACGATTTTCGTGTCATCATAATTATTCTTCATCTTCTTCTTCTTCTTCTTCTTTAAACCCGCTATCTCCTTACCAGTACCAGTTCAAGCACTGATTTTTTCACTGAAGGTCTCCAATTTCGCCGGAGGTGTGCACGGACATCAAGCGATCGTTTCTTTCTTGCCGCTAGTCACTACGGTAGATCATGGAGCTCTTCCATGGTCGACCTGAACAACGCCATTTGCTGCTTACTCAGCATCAGTGATCCGCGCGCATGCGCCAGGCAGGGGCGTTGTCCAATGTGCTTGCGAGCGTATTCTACCGGGCGGGTTGGCAGACCTGCAGAGGAACTCTCAGTCTTTGTTTTATTGTTTATAAGCAAAGTTTAATATCAAACAATATCAAACAAAGATATAGGGATGGTGTCATGTAGCTTTGTGCAACTTTGCTGTGTAATGACCCCTTGTTTCTTCCTTTTTGGTGCTTCAAGCCATCCCTATATCCCCCTTTCATTTTGAAGAAATGATTTTTCCACTTGTACTACTACGTGCTTCCTATTTGTATGAAATGTTTAGGAAATTTTCAGCTCTCGCGGTGTGTACCTGTAGTGTGTGTGGTGGTACTGAGGGGTCCGACACGAACCATTATGACGTACGAGATTTCTAAAAGCCCAACTGATTTCTACTGATTTCCAACTGATTTCCAGTGATTTCTAGATTAATTTCTAATGTGTACAACCCTCAGAACATCAATAAGGAGGGTACTTCCCTTTATGGGAATTCAACTGAGCCAAATGACAATTAGATGGTAGGTCCATTCTCTGGGTTACTATATTTTAGCTCTCCCTGAAATGAGTGCAACATACCCATGATTTCTTGGTCTCTCAAGGGTGTGTGGCCGGCCGTGTGCCGGAATGAGTGACTCGCGTGGGCACGCGCTGCAGCAGGGTCTGCCTTGTAGTTTACTACAGTGAATGGAGCAGAAAAGCGGCGCGAGATTTCTAAAAGCCCAACTGATTTCTACTGATCTCCAGATTTCCACGTGATTTCAACTGATATTCCAGTTGCGAGATTTCAAGAGATTTCCAGATTTCCGCGTGATTTCTACTGATTTCCAACTGATTTCCAGTGATTTCTAGATTTTCTAATGATTTATTGGTCTCTTGATGATGTGTATCAAAGAGACCTTGTACTCAGCGACCTCAGTGGCTGAGCACTGCTGAATGGCAGTGTCTGGATGGTAGAAGTCAGCATTGTCACTGGTCTTGCAGCAGCAGGTCCGGATATGATCACTGTTGGCTCTGTACTCTCCCTCTATCAGTGTGGTGGCTCCGATCTGAGACACCTGTGCCACTTCAGGGGACACGTCGTCCATACAGGCATCCCACATCTGGTAGCCAGTGGTGTGAGAGGCTCCAGTCGGAGGAGACCAGTGAGCAGTGGAGGGGTATATATATAGTAGTCAGGGTGACACACTCCAGTCCAAGTGCTCACGAATGTGACAGTGTAGACGGCGGGAAGTGCAGAACACCACGGCTCAGGGCGATCAGGGTTGTAGAACTCCACATTTTCACTGCTATCGCAGCAGCACGTGGAGCATTCGGCTATCGGGTCTTTTCTCGGGCAGTAGGTGATCACTGTTGCAGAAGTAGGAATTGCGTTGAGCTAGCTATAGTTCGGTCTTACCTCTTGGAGCTCATACTTTGTTCGAATTACTGCAGCTGAGCGGTTGCGAGATGATAGCGTGGCTGGCAGTAAAAAGAGCAGCTAAAAGAAAGAGCGACACACTCATGTCGGGGCTACGCCGGCTATGGGGTGCCATTTGTGTAAAAAATATTTTCTGCTGACATTTATCACAAGAGTGAATATTTACCGATTTGCAGTGGAAATTTAGTCTACCATGCGGGTAATAAATCCCCTCTCTTTGAAAGGGAGGGGATTTAGTAAATATCCCTCGTTGAGCGTCGAAAGAGAGGGACCAATGGAAATGGCCTCTGACCTCATTTATCATGTATCCATCTTTCTTCTTACCTTTTTGTGCACAAGTTTGTAATGCACAAGTTTGCAAGATGCAGTATGCTGTATTGTATAAAGTAACTTCAGTTTTTACAAAGCTACTTCTTGCCGTGGCTGTAAAGCCAGCCTCCTTCTGTTGACAGTCTTCTGTCACTTTTCAAAATGACGTGAAACAAGTGAAAAAGCCAGTATGCATGGCTTACGTCGACCCGCTCAGCACATTGGAGGAATGTGTGTGCACTCCAGCGTTGCTCTAACCACTACCGACTGATGCAGCTAGCCTGTGTTAGGGCGAGAAACTGGTTCATTCGATGACGCATGGCCCAGCCCACCTAACATACATCAATGCTACAACATGCACGTTTTGCGCTGAGGGTTTGCACTTTAGTGCGTTTCATTATTATTTTTACATCACCAAAGCTAAATGTTTGTTAACAATAGTTATTGTATGATTATGAACAGTTCGATTGCTTCTTTATTTTATCAAGTATACCTGGAAGAATGCCTACTTTGTTAACTGTTCTAGAGGACAGAACCTCAGCCAGTTTACTCCATGAATATTCGCTTGTTCCACCATCATGCCACTGTGTGAAGACTTCTGCCATACAGCTAGTTGTCTTCCCACTATAGTCGGTCTTGATTGACTTTAAGGTTGCGCTGTTCAGTCCCAGTGCTAGACCTACGATATCCCAGTCTGCCTGTACATCCACACCAACTACCTCCATCAAATCACGCTGCGTTGGTGGGAGGAGGTCTGAAAATGCTGCCATGTGTATTAAAAACAGTGTATTACACACGACTATGTCAAAAATTGCACCACTTCACCTTCAGGTGTAATCTTGGTTGGGCTAATACTGGTGGTACTGCCAATTGTTTCACATTCTATTCACATTAAAGAGAAGAATGGCATGTGAATCCTAGCAATTTGAGTAGCTATAATATTATAGCTAGCTACATTGTTTTGCAGAGCAGGCATTCATACATACTTGGAGCAAACACTAATCCACGTTTCGGCTCGAGAGCCATTGTCAGTGCATAATGTCCATGAACAATAGGCGACGGTGAAGTTATCATTATCACCCAGCCAGAATAATGGATGGAGTGATCATATCTATGAATCAATGGGTGAAACAATGAGTGGATCTAGGTGGTGACTGCTAGGCTACTGGAGTAGATGAGCACAGGAAGGGAGAGAAATAAATCTGAACTTGGATTGTGGTTTGTCACTACAACCCCTCAGACTCTTTTGGAAGCATATAGAAACTATACTCATGTGCATGAGTATCACACTCGTTCACACACTATATCAATCACCTTCCACTTTTGCAATAATACAGCTGACAAAGACTCTGAAGCCATAACGTTCTATCTCTCTGGATTGTTGTGTTCCCATGTATATATGTTTGCTCAATGCAAGATTCTTGCAATTTGAGGAATGACCCTATACAGAAAAATAATACGTACCTGTAAAGTTACAAGGAGAAACAACTGTGATGTGATGTTGTTTTGCTCCCTCAATGACTGTGTCATACGTTAGTTTCCTGACTGGTTGATCACCTGTCCAGCTCACCTCCACTTGGAATGGAATGATTGATTTCATCCTAACTATATCGTCTGATTTCCTCTATAATTATGGAGAATGGAATATACACTGTCTATATCATAATGTATGTGGAATGTGCCGGAAATCTCCTACAAGTGCAGGAATTTCCGGCAAAATGTAGGAAATTTCCAGCACAATTTGCTTATGTGCAGGAAAAATACGAAGAAGCCTTAATTCTTCTGTCACATGTCAAAAATGAAAAAATATTTATTCCTACACTTCTTCATTTCTTCCTGCACGTTTTTTCATTCTTCCTACATTCTTCCTACACATTTTAAAATTCTTCCTTCACATTAATTATACAAGTGGAAAAATCATTTCTTCAAAATGAAAGGGGGATATAGGGATGGCTTGAAGCACCAAAAAGGAAGAAACAAGGGGTCATTACACAGCAAAGTTGCACAAAGCTACATGACACCATCCCTATATCTTTGTTTGATATTGTTTGATATTAAACTTTGCTTATAAACAATAAAACAAAGACTGAGAGTTCCTCTGCAGGTCTGCCAACCCGCCCGGTAGAATACGCTCGCAAGCACATTGGACAACGCCCCTGCCTGGCGCATGCGCGCGGATCACTGATGCTGAGTAAGCAGCAAATGGCGTTGTTCAGGTCGACCATGGAAGAGCTCCATGATCTACCGTAGTGACTAGCGGCAAGAAAGAAACGATCGCTTGATGTCCGTGCACACCTCCGGCGAAATTGGAGACCTTCAGTGAAAACATCAGTGCTTGAACTGGTACTGGTAAGGAGATAGCGGGTTTAAAGAAGAAGAAGAAGAAGAAGATGAAGAATATGATGACACGAAAATCGTGAAATCGCGTATGAGCGAATTCTCCCGAGGACGACTGAAGGTGCGTATTAGCTCTTGGGGGACATGTATAGGTAGATATGGGCCCGTAGACTATTGCTAGTATGTTTTGAAGGCCTAGGAAGTGATTCTCACTGAGTTTTTAGTCGTTTTGTACGCGGATCACGTGAGATTTCACCCGTGTCATCCCTATATAGAGAGTCTACCGACTCTCTAATGAATGTGCAGGAAGTTTTTCAGTAAAGTGACATCTTCAGTTTATACCCTCACTTGAAAACTTACTTAAAATAGACAGTGTTAATGGTAAAAACTAACATCGTTTAGTAAGTGTAGGCAATAGGAAGAATACCTTATTTAAGTTAAGATGTTTCATAGTCCATCCTGACACAGGCACTTCCGGTATTTCGAGACGAATAACTGATTCTGCTTCATCAAATTCAAATGGTGAAATTGGTCCTTTTTTAAAATGTTCATCCATCACTCTTATATCACTGTCTAACTCCTGTGCACAAAGTATAAGGGATGATTAAGTTAAACAAAAATAATGGTAGTACATACCTTTACAATGGCATCCAGCTGTGGGATAATGTACAAGTTAAACTGGAAACTGTGGTTTTTGATGTTAGTGTAGTAGAGCACTGCACAAAACTTTATAGTCCAGATCAGGGACGCACAGTACCATTGCAAGTAGACACCAAAGCTGCAGAAATGATCGAGTTCAATGGAACCATAGCTGTCACCATCATTAAACTTTCCGTCTTGTATAATATGGAACTGGTATGGAGATGACATGTCATTTGACTGTACAATGCATAGTTGATTGCAACGGGCAACACAGTGCTGCATTTTAAGTGTGGCTGGCTTGAGTAACTTTCTGTCTCCAAGATTGTGGCAAAATGAATAAACTGGACTGACCAGGATACCATCCTCGGCTGGCAACTTGTAGTCCTGTACCCTTGACACAGCCATGTTAAGTGTGAACTGACTGCAGTCTCCTGGTAGTGAGTCGGGTGGTATGTGAAGGCTCAGACCACATCCCTCCAAGTCAATGTGCTGCTCCTCATTAGTCACTTGTACCATTTTTTCAGCTATACTATCTATAGTACTTTCCAGTTTTAATGACTGTTGAATTACTTTTGTGTTTTTCAGTTCTAACACCTCAGCTGCAATGGCTTGTTTTATGAATTTTTTCCCTCCTTCCTCTAACAACGTCACTTTTTTTTCTGCAGCCTTTGCTCTTTTTTTGAGTTGCCAGTTTTCAATTTTAATTTTCTCTATCTCTCTTTCATGTATTGCTTTAATTGCTTGTTCTTTCATATGTTGCATCATTTGTTTTACTTCAACATCTAGTGTATTAAAAAAAGGTTTTTTTGGTCGTTCAGCTTCATCATGTTCTTTGAAAGCTCTTACTGTCTTCATTTCACTGTGTTGCGCACTATCAACTATAACACATTGACTATGCAATGGCTTTACCATTTCAATTCCAGCTTTGTCCCTTTCAGCCTCTGCTTTTCTCTGCTCCTCCAAAGCCTTTGTATGCTTAGCCTGTTCAAACCTTATCTTCGCTTTTAGAGTTTCAATTTCACCTTCCATCTGAGTGCACTTTCTGCTCAACATCTGTACCTTGGTTTCTGCTTCCATTCTTCCTTGTTTCTGCTCTTCTGCTTCAATTGATTTCATTTCAGCCTCTTTCATATATTTTTCCAAATCTCTTGTTTTCTTATCAAGTTCTTTCTTCAACACTTTCACTCTATCTTTGGCGTCTTCCTCTAATAGGCTGATCTTTTGTTCCTGTTTTCTCATATATCTTTTGATCTCTTCCCATTCTTCAATGGTTCTGTCCAATTGTCTCTCCAAATCTATCAAATTTGCCTCCATTTCCTTCTCTCTCTCTAATTCCCTCACCTTGGCTTCAATTTCTTCCCTCGCTCGGTCCCCCTCTCTCTCCATCCCTTCGTTTCCAATCTCTCCAGTGGGTTGTTCCAAGCTTGTAGACATGTTGCAAATCTTATCACTCAATGTGTTTTTTGATGCCCTATGATGGTTGCCAACTATCCAAAACAGACTCCATTCAGCAGCAGACTGGCCCACTTGCTCTAAAAAACCCACAAACAAATGCAAAATGATTACAAATAAATTTAAAATCCTGCAAATTTCAAACGTTGTAGCGTTGATGTATCTTAGATGGGCTGGGCCATGCATCGTCGACGGAGCCAGTTTCTCGCATGCTAGTTGCATCAGCTGGTAGCGGTTACAGCAATTGCTCAGGTCTGGTTAGAGCAATTGCTCAGGTCCGCTCTTCTGTGTTTCATAGCTATTGCGACATTACGCAGGTGCCAGCCGGCGGGCACGTGCGCGATCGATCGCACACCGCACTCGCGTACATGTCTGTTGCCTTTTTCGCTTGTTTTCACGCCATATCTCTTGGACGCAGTTGTTTCAGGAAAATTGCCTTTTTCGCTTATTTTCACACCATATCTCTGGGACGCAGTTGTTTCAGGAAAATTGCCTTTTACTTCCATGCTTTCATAGCCCTGAAAACCGTAAGTATAAAGCCATGTAGCTAATGATACCCAGTGGGAAAATCATTGCTTCCAATGGCGCAAAACACAGCTAAGACGATACCGAGCTCTATGTTAAACGATCCCTTTGTTCTATGTATAGGTTAGACGCAGAGCCGCGGGAACTACGCGATTTAGAGTGAGCTAGGTTCGAATTGACCAATCAGATTGCAAAGGCGAGGTTTACTAAATCCCGTAGTAAACCTCGACGGGGTTTACTAAATAGTAAACCTACAGAAACTACAAAACCTACAGGAAAACACAAAATGTACATGTACACTGGGTGTGTAGGGAGAGTTGGGCCCATAAAAGACTCTTTAACCTACCGCCCCGGTTCTCTAGGCTGGGCACCCAGGGTCCTGCCTCTTTCTTTCCGTTTCCGTTTGTCTGTGTTTTTGTACGCTTGGGTATGTTATTGTCTGTGTTTTGTGTGCTTGGGTGGGGGAGGTTCTTTCTTTTCCTCTGAGCTAGTATGCTATAAACATGTTTTTTCATGTAAACAACAAAATCAACAACTGAATCTACATTGACGGGTCGTCCACGCGCACGCGCAGACCCCCCTGCGCGCAGAACCGTCACGCGCACAACCAGAAAAAGAAGGCGGAGTCGCTACCGCGTGTCCTCGGCCGCTTCGCTCTTCTTGCACTGCATTTTCTGGCACTCTGAGCCAGTCCCAGTCATCGTTAGAAGCGCTCCGCCATACGAAGGAACGGGAAAGCCAGAGCGCTCAACGTGAAGCGCTCACTCTAAAATAGTTAGACGCTGATTCCTCGGTAACAACGCGCCGGTAGAAAGCCTCGTGCCCCGGGGGTAGCGCCCTCGCTGCGCTCGGGGCGCCACAATGCCGGGGCTCTCGGCTTTCTACACTCACTTTAGAGTGAGCTAGGTTCGAATCGACTCAGATTGCAAAGCCGAGGTTTACTATTTCCCGTAGTAAACCTCGACGGGGTTTACTACATGTAGTAAACCTACAGAAACTCCAAAATCTACAGATAAAACAGGAAAACATTGACGCGTCGTCCACGCGCACGCGCAGACCCCCCTGCGTACGTATGGAACGCCGTTTCCGCCAAAAGTAAGGGCTCTCCGCTTGTCAAAAATCGATTTCCAAATCGATCACGTACTCGATTCTTGGTCAAAAATCGATTTACAAATCGATCACGTACTCAATTTTTCGTCAAAAATCGAGCTCTTAATCGATCCTTTACTCGATTTTCTTGGTAAATCGTTGTCTGTTTACTCGCGTTAGCTTCAGGAAGCGCGTGTGTTTGACGTAAACCTGTCCTAAAGACGCCATATCCGTAGTATCCGAAGCGTGATGCCCAGTCCACTACAATCCGCGGACTAAGGATGCAAATGACGTTGATTGGCCATTCTGCGATCTGATTGGAGATCGAGATCTAAGACTGAGACAAACGCGTGCCTCGCGGGAAAAAGGGGGCGTTCACACGAAGTCGAGACACCAATCAGATCACAGACCGTCCGAATCAATCAATTTCGCGTGCATCCGCAGTCCACGGAGTTTTGTAGCAGCATCACACACCGAAGAGTGTTTCGCGAGATTGATTACGAAATCGATTAGAGCAAAAAATAGAGTGAAAGATCGATTTAGAGAACGATTTTCCCCCCAAAAATCGAGTAAAAGATCGATTTAGAGATCGATTTTTGACCAAAAATCGATTATCTACGTGATCGATTTGTAAATCGATTTTTGACCAAAATCGAGTACGTGATCGATTTGTAAATCGATTTTTGACCAAAAATCGAGTACGTGATCGATTTGGAAATCGATTATTGACAGGCGGAGAGCCCTTACTTTTGGCGGAAACGGCGTTCCATACCTGCGCGCATAACCATCACGCGCGCGCACAATCAGAAAAAGAAGGCGGAGTTGCTACCGCGTGTCCTCGGCCGCTTCGCTCTTCTTGCACTGCATTTTCTGCCGCTCTCAGCCAGTCTTAGTGAGCCGAGGAGCCCTGAGCTGTCGGCGTCCCGAGCGCAGCGAGGGTGCTACTAAGGGCTCCGAGGGTCACTAAATCGCGTAGTTTCCCAAGGCGACGCGTCTAACCGGCTTAGACTACAGCGCAAGTCCGTCCCGCTGCTGTGTCCGTACTCCGTTGTAGGCGTTGCTGCCCTTCTGGATCGCGCTGCCCCCCCCGCCCGTTTGCACGCGTTTTTCCCTGCACGCTTTCTCTAGCGTCTTCCTAGCTCTCGATCTAGTAGTCATGCGCTGCTGCTAGAAGAGCCTGTTCCTGGTTTCTTCGTGGGAAGAACCGCTCCAGAAGCTCGGTTCGCCGTCCGCACGCGTGGCGTCTTTTCGAATTGAAGGCGTGGTTGCCGGGGCTACGAATAGTTACCGCGGAAGAGGTAACTAACAAAATTAGTTACCGCTAAACTCGCAATCTGATTGGTCAATTGCGTGTTACCGTAGTCTAATGATTAATTATCTCAGACAATGATATACGTAGGGATGGTGGAATGTTGCTTTGCGTGTTTAGCTCACCCCTTGTTTTTTGTTTTGCGCCATGTCTCCATCTCCCTAGGATCAATCAACTTGTACACCAATACAAAAAAAGCCAAGACACCTTCATATAGCTACACACAAAGAAATGCTCACCATAATCTATGAGTATTAGCATGCAATAATTATGGAGAGCAAATCACAAATAAGGAACTGTGGAGTTATTACTGTTAAGTACAATCTTGCCTGATATTACACTGTGCGCGTAGTTTCAGCCCTGTGATGATGTGTATCAATCACATTATTAGTTTTGACTCAGTAGATGCTCTAATGTAGGTGTGGCACAAAAAGGACATGGGTAAATTTCCTTCTATCTAGATATAGGTCCCGTTTTGCTCCAATGATGTGACATCATAATATCCCTCTTCATTTCAGATAAATTCTTTTTTTACATGTACAGAAAACTACTCCATAAATATAGTTTCCTATTTCTCATAGTCTAGACTCAACTTTTTTGTGCTTGTGTGCTTCATTAACCCTCGACGTGCATGCGCAGTGAGGGTTACAGTACTTAGTTTGTTTGTCTGTCAGTCTTTGTGTGTTTCAATGCTAATTCTGGAACTGTATAGAGTGCAGAGGTAGCTACAAGTGTGTGAAATCTAAGAAGTTGATTTTCCTGAAATGACTGTGTTCAAGAGATATGGCGTGAAAACAAGCAATATTATATATAATCTGCACTGGGTTACCTTGACCATGTTATATCAATTAACGCACCATTGAAGATATGTACTTTGGGGAAATCTAGTCTAGGGTTGCTCTAAGTGCTACACACTGATGTGGCTAGAGCGAGAAACTGGCTCTTACAACTGGTGTTGGTTTGGCTTGTCAATAGCTAAGTTTTTTTTATCTGCATGCGTAATATCCACATCAACACTACCCGTGTGAATTTTTTTTGCACAAAAGGTGTGCACTCCAGTGTTTCTTCAAAACCTTTGCAGATCACTAAACAGACCAGTTAGCAAGATTACACATTGTAACCAATCATGTGCAATGCATGTGAGTACAGTATTTCATTCCATCTAAGTCTTATTCGTCATCTGCCATAGCTATGTGCGACCTCATGGAAAAACTCTAGACTTAGACAACTAAATAGACTCTCTTTATGTGCCATGCTATTATTTTCCTTACTGAATTGCAGTAGGGTAGTGCCTGCAAGTTTAGGATGTGTCTCATCAGTATATCTTGTCCTTGGCTCAGAAGATCCTCCGAATTCCAGGACCTCTGTAAATCCTCGAGTCAGATTGAAAGCAGTGAGAGAGTGCCTCCAGCGGGGACTCCGAAAAGTGTATTCCTATAATAGGTACATAGGTATAAACTGTAGCACACTCATATTCAAGTCTCAACGCAGTAATTTTGCATGTTCCAGGCGTGTTGTTTTAATTTACATGTACAGTGTTGATAACCACACGTTCTTAGGTATTTTTTATGGATTTTCTGTCCATCTTCTGTAATATTCATGCGAAATTCTTTGCGGTATTGGCACACACGTAGAATTCGATGGCTCTATATACCTATGAGTGAAAGGCTGAAATAAGATGAAAATAAAAGATGGAGTTAACAGTATAACTATTATAGTTGGGGAGAAATTCCGCAGAAGAACGGGTTTGCACTAAAACAACTGATATTACTTGATCTTTATGCTGACATTAATGTTGGTTGGTAGCTCTGCATGTATGCTATAGGTTTTAGCACACTAACCATCTTCCATTTTCCTCTCTCTACATCAAGAATCCAGGCATCTGCTAGTGGTTGGCCTTGTCTTCCTAATCCGCCAATTACCAGCAATTGAGGGAACTTCTGGCCATAGTTGAGACAACAAGCTGCATGGTAATGCCTTTCATTTGGCCAAGGTTCACATTTTGTGAGTTTGCTCCAGTTCTGGGAGGATGATCATAATAAGCATGCATATCGTGACACAGTTAGTAGCAAGTTGTCAATAAAGACAGTGCAACCTCCAAACCAGGACACTTTCGAACCTTTCTTTTTCCCCTTGTAATGATTATCTGCGAAGATTTTCTATACCTTAATGGTCTTTGAGTTGGTTAAACAACCATTCTGAAGCATAGTAGCCAATTATTATATACGTGAAATGAATCTACCACTCAGAGATGATGATGTTTCATTTAAAGCCGACTAAGTTCTATGCACGATTAGTGTTTTTTATCCTACAGAGCTGAAAGCATTGAGTGACCACTTCTGGTAGGTTTCCAAAATGCGATTAGTATTTTGAACGTTGTTATGGGGGTTCCACTGTATTAAATTAATTTGTGATTATAGCTACCATAGTTGTGAGATCAAGGATGTAGGTATCATTAATGCTGTCTTTTCCATTAAATCCTCCAAACATGATTGCCCTCCTGTCATCTATGGTAGTGAATGTGTGGCAAGAACATGGAGGAGGTCTCTCTCCAGTGGTGACAGGACAGCTCCACACTCCTATATACAGTGGACATAATCACTAAGTACGGTAGTACTTAGTATATAGGGATTGGCATGGTACCTAGCATCATATGAGTATTAGCTATATTATATAAAATATAGGAGCAGCAAAGGGACACAGGCTAGAGCTCTGAGCTAAGGTCAACCAGGATACTTTTCACATGGATAGGAGCATAGTCGGGACACTAGACCTTGTAAGGGAACTCGTTGCTTTGGTGAGCTGGACAGAGGTTCATTTTTGTACCATTGAGTGGGTAAACTTTTTGTGTGCATTGGCCTCATTTCCAGGCCATTGTTTCAGGCTGGGAAATAGGCTAGTGTACATTTTCCATCAAGAGTATATATATACAGTTATAAAAGCATCCATGCACATGGCTTCCAAACAACTTTATGAACAATACTCATATATTATTCATGGTGTGGTGAGGCCATATCACTGCCTGCCGTCACAGGTACAGCAAGTAGCCCCATGTCAACGGCTTTTAAGTTTGAGCTAGTCAGGCTACAAGTCTACAGGTAGACTTATCCCCGGTACGTATTGCAAAAACAACATTACAGTGTAATGTGTGTGTGGTGCTGTTAGAATATGTATATCTGCATTCTCAGTAGGTCACAAGGGTAAGGTCGCTACTACATTCATGCACTGTGCCAAAAGTTTCATCAAATATTTGCTGCTCTAGGATGCATTAATACTATTCATTGCATTGTACTGTAAACTATGGTTACCTTCAGAGAGATGAAAGAAATGAAATTCATTAGTCCATCCACGGCCACCCTCATATCTTGAAAATGTGTCTGGATCTCTATGTGCTGAATTTATTCCAAACCCACCAAATACTCCCAGTTTATCCCCAAACGCTATCATTCTACAATTTATTTTAGGCAAAGGAGCTCTTTCATCGTTTTGAAATGACACCAGACTCCACTTCCACGTGTGTGTGTCCAGTTTGTGGAGAGTGTTGAAAAAGTCTCTCCCATCAAACCCTCCAAATGAGTAAAGGTCGTCGTGGAGTGATGCACTGGCTGCACCGACCGTTCCCGGCGATAAGTAATCTCCATTCACTTCTTTTTGCTCCCATACATCGGAGTACGGGTCAAATACTTCTACAACGGAGCTCAAATGTTGTCTTTTTTTCAGTGTGAAGTCTTTGGTCTGTCCTCCCTGCACGACTGCTTTGCTACCCACACGTTCTGAGATGTGTAGAAACCTTGGTTCAGGCTCGTACTTTCGATAGCGAAAAAACCTAGCCATCTCTCTCGGATGCACTGCAGCCCCGTCACCCACTAAAACGTTATGCGCTTCCAGTTACGCTACTCCTGCACGCATGCGTGATTCTGCCCAAATCGACACACCCCTAATTAGCACAGGCCGGTCCGCTTGCTCTGCGTATCTTGAAGGCAGAATAAATCACAACGAAGGGCGTGTATCGACTCCCGCATGCTATCTACTACTGTAGCTAGCCCGTGTCAGACTCTCCGGGAGACTAGCAGGAGAGTACTAATAGCCCAGCCCAGCCTATCATCCAAAGTTCCAAAGTTCATGTTATGAGTCCAAGAGGGATACAACGATTATGCATACAGAAAATATAAGCATATATAAATGACGTGAACATGAGAAGAGATTAGAGAGAATTGGAGAGGGTAGTGGCAATCGTGAGGATGTTTTCGTGAAAACCTCCTTCAATGGTTTCCAGAACTCCCGCGACAGATATGTCACTGTTGCAGTGGTCTGAGCTCACGTGCTCGAAGTACGAAGTGCTCTGGTGGATGATGTTGTTGCAGATGGGACATTCTCGCTTTCCAAACACTGGTCTGCACATTACACTCAGTAGATGTTGAGTTAAACGAGTTCCACGAACTCCGTGATCTAGGGCGATGTCCCATAGCTTGCACCATGAGGAGGCAATTCGAGGGTCCGCAATGTGCTTAGTCGACTGGTGACACTTGGCCATCTCTAGCACAATTTCCCAGTCCTTTGAGATCAGAGCTTCTTTTGCTTCTTGCAGTACTAATTGAGCATTTCCAGGGTCATTAAGGCATTGTGCCGCGAATGATGTACCAAACTCACATTCAAGTAGCTGACATTGCTCGACCAGACTGATCTTACTGACATCCTCAGAGGCAAGTGTACGGAAAACACGAGAGCTGAGGTTGTCGCTGGTAGATTGGAGAAGCTTCACTAGAAAAGTTAACTTCCTTAGAAGGATGCAAACTCTCATTCTTGGCCAGTGCAGAGCAATGATAACAGCAAGTATGAGTAAAATTTGGGTAGTCGTAAAATGCGTCTACCGATCTCTGCCTGAAACTTCTCCACAGTAGTTAATAAGGATTTGGTGAGTATCCAGTTTTTTCACAGCCGTAGAGGAGTATCGCAGCACAAAAGTGGAGAAGAGGCTACGCCCAGAGAGTGGGTTTTAGGGCACCCTGGTAGGCACCGATAGAACCCAGGGCAAAGAAAGCCCTACGAGCTTTGCTGATATTCTCTTCAATTGATTTCACTGGTGTGAAGTTGGTATGCCACCAGTATCCAAGGCATTTAGCTGTCTGCTGAGTAGAGATAGACTGGTCAGTCAGTTGGATTTCTTCAGAGCTGAAAGCACAGGCAGAGAAATTGATTAGTTCTGTCTTGGTTGCATTCAGCTTCAAAGCATTGTCCAGTGCAAATTGTTCAATTGTCTTCCCCTGCTTCTGCAAATCGGTAATTGAGTTGCTGGTGGAGCGGATATCATCAGCGTGGGCAGCATAACTTATGGTAAGCCCGTTGATGGAGAGGTCCAACCCACTGATGTGGAGACGGTGTAGGAGGGAGTCCATCACGACAAGGAATAACAGGGGAGACAGGACGGATCCTTGTCGTACACCTCGATGAACACGAAAAGGGTGGGAGAGAGTGCCGCCATGCTTAACAACGCTCTCTGGATTTGTGTACCAGCTCCTAATGAGTCTCCAGCATTTCCCCTTGATTCCACGCTTGAATAGGTGTGATAGGAGAGTTGGAAATTCAATGGAATCAAAGGCGTTTTCAAGATCATATAGGCAGAGGTAAGCACTATCGCCCTCCCTCACGAACTTGAGCAAGGCCTCCTGGGTAGAGAATATAGCATCTGCACACGACACAGATCGCTGGTATGCTGTTTGTGACGAGTGGGGACAGCGTGCTTCTTTAAGTGGCATTTCCATACGATGTAGCAATATATTTTCCAAGCACTTCGAGATGACGGAGGTTAGGGTGATCCCCCTGTAACTGTTTGGATCAAGTGGATTACGACCCTTCCCCTTGTACACTGGAATGATCACCCCTAGTTTCAGACTAGGTGGAATGGATTCGAGGCAGAGGATGGCAGCAAAGATCCGCAGAAGCCAGACATGGATGATATACCCACCGTACTTGAGATGTTCTGGATCAAGGTCATCAGCACCCCCAGATTTGCCTGACTTTATAGACTTTACTGCCGTTGCAACCTATCCATGGTGATGTCAGTGTCAAAAGTAAAATCTTCGTACAAGCGAGAGCAAGCCTCATCATCACCCTCGGCGCGCATGCGCAGCGTGGGTACGTCTGTCTGTGAGTGTGTGTACGTGTCTGTTACTCTACATCTCACTTCTCGAGTGTTCGTTCGTCTCACAAAGGATACGGTCGAACGGTTTTCTCTGAAAATGCCCCGTGGCAAAGCTAGAGCGCTTCCAGCATTGTACGGCTAATCATTTTTATCGCTGCGCATGGTTATATGCTAATAATTCGACTGGGCCCGCTTGCTCTGTGTATCTTGAAGGCGCAAGAAGTTATAACGAAGGGCGTGTATCGACTCCTGCATGCTATCTACTAGCCCGTGTCAGACTCTCCGTGAGCGGGAGACCACCACGAAAGAGCCCAGCCTATCAATTAGCAGTACCGCGCATGCGCAGTTCGCCGAGGGTTTGCACTGTAGTGCTTCAATGTTCAATAAAGGAAGCCAAAGAGGCACAAACTAAAAATAAAGGAAATGAGAATATATTTCATAAGGTTAGGTTTTGCGCAGAAACTGTTTGGCAAACATGAATACATCCCGGTCTCCATCAGCCAGTTGACGAACAATGGTGGTAGGGCTGACCCCAATCGTAGAATGGAAGGAGATGAAGTGGTTGAAGTAAGCCCATGTCAGACTCTCAGCGAACTATAGCGGGAGACCACGAGTACACGCATACTAAGAGCCCAGCCCATCAATTAGCGGTACCCCCCATGTGCAGTTCGCTGAGGGTTTGCACTTTAAGAGTACTGAAAGGGTAGATGAAAGCAACATCAAAGCTCCGACAGCCAAATCCAAGAGCCGACTGACCACTTCTGAGGATGCGTGGGTGGTTTTTATGAGATAAGGTCAAAGTTCACACTTGTGTGAAAGAAGTGTGCCTTCCTGGATGTCAAGAAGGCGTTTGACACCGTGTGGCATGAGGGTCTCCTATACAAGCTATTCCTGTTCGGATTCCCCAGATACATCTGGATCATCCTGCACAACTGGTATAGAGGATTCACTTCAGCTGTGTTATGGAATTCCTCCACCTCCTGTTCCTTCAAGATCAGTCGGGGAGCTATTCTTTCACCTTTCTTGTACTCTATAAACGTCAATGACCTCCTGCATCAGCTCTCCGGCTCTGGCTACGGTGCCACAATTGAAGGTACCTTCTGTGGCAACCCCATGTATGCTAACGATCTGGCATTGCTGATCGCTACCAGCAGCACTGATCTTCAGGCCATGCTCGAGATCGTCTTCTTATACTCAGTCCAGTGGCGTTACCAACTCAATGCCCAGAAGTCTGCCATTCCCGCATGTGTCTCGGACCCGGCCCGTTTCGTCTCGCTCATCCTCGGCTCTGAGTGGTTGGACGACAACCCGTGCAGCACGCGTGTATTGAATTCCTTCATCATATCCTATCTGCTCGCACTCGACTTTTATCCTGATTCACTTCATCTTCGCCCACACCTAGGGCTACTCTCCTTCAGTGGAGGTTATAAAGAAGAAGAAGAAGAAGAAGAAGAAGTGGACCGAAAGGTCTCAACCCCCGTTACGAAAAAGCAGGGAGAGGCACTTGGCTAGGCGCAGATTAGGCCTTCCACTTTCCTCTCTCCCTCTCTCACCAGTATAAAATGGGGCCACCTTGCTGTAGATGTAATGATTGGTGTTTTTGACATGCTGGACCACCATTGTACAGTTGATCCTCTCTCCTTCCTCTATATGGGCACTGGAGTCACAACAGGACAGGGACTGAGTTGTTCTTGATGACACTGCGATAATCTTTGTAGGAACAACTGATTGGATAAAGAGTCTTGATTTTTTCTATGTTTATATTTATTGTTAATGGAGGGGCTGGCCGTCAAGTTCAAGCCAACAGCTGCTGCCGTCTAGCTAGAAAGAACCAATAAATCCTTTTTATCATAGAAAAAATCAAGACTTTTTATCCAATCAGTTGTTCCTCAATTTTCCTGACCAATGTATTTTTAACCCTTCTTTGAACTTTGAATTTCTAACAAGCTGGAGTTGTGTGCATCAGAGTGTTGGTAGACAATAGAGTGAGAGAAGGTGTATATAATATACCACAGGGAGATTAGATTTATGGTCTAACCAATTTGCTAATAAGTGACAAGTAAGGGGCCGATGGGAAGACATTGATGCGTTCTGATCTTCTCTTTCCTTCCCCTCGCTCCAGAATACTAGAACGAGAACCCACATAGTAGCTGATATCTGGCAGCAGATCCTCTGTATTTACAATGTATTCACGCACATCAAAAGCCATTTCTTCACTTCTTTCTACTTAGTGAATACAACCCATAATCTGTGGATGCACTGCCGTCCAACTATTCCCTTTCCACTGGCCTACTGTAATTTTAAATTAATGATGATATACAATCTGGTGATCAGTGGAAGAGAGTAAAATGGGAACGTCTGGGGCTGGGTGAAGAAGAGTGACTCGTGACTCATACCCTAAAATGAATATATATGTGATTTTGTACATTGTGCAGATGTGTGGAAAGTGTCCTGCCATGCGGGGAGACACATGGCGAGCTGGCCGAATTGAACAATGGCTCTTTCAGTGGCAGCCTCGTGACAATCGAGGAGGTGAGCCGGTGGTACATCGTCACCCAGGCTCCACTGGACAACAGGATCACCATCTTCTGGTAGATGGTCTGGAAGCAGCATAGCATGGGGATCATAATGTTGTGCAAGTGTGCCGAGGCCCGAGGGTGACGCAGACGTGTGTGTCCATTACTGGCCAATGGTGGGGGACAATCCACTCATTGCCGGCTCCCTTGTGGTGGAGTGCCTTCTAGCCTGTAGTCAATGTACCTTTCAGCCACCAGTTTGTTGGCAGTGGATTACTGGTTACTTTTACTTACCCTGAGCTACTGTCAATTTGAAAACATGGGAATTATTTCACGGAGTTCATGTCATCCAAATACTGTCTAACAAATTACCTAGCCGTGCATTATGTTCCATCGAGTAGGTTTCTAAGGAGCACTGGTATTCATGAAAAGGAAGTGAACAAAGGTGCCAATTGAATCACAGTGATCCAGTGGTTCCTCATGTACTATTATGTATCTGATTCCCAGGTTTGGCTGCCAACACTACTGAACAAGGAGAAACTCTCTATATAGTACCACAAAACATTTGAGTACCTAGTACACACTTTCACTACAGTTGCCTAACTAATTCATAATCATACACTACATAAACTATCAGTATAGTTTCAAAAGCCACCAAGCCTGCCGCAGACTTGTTCTCCAAGATTCTTGATGGCACAGGCATTGATAGTCTGAGTAATCCTGTCCCCCAGTTGCCGGTCATGTGCGGTACCAGTCTCACACTCTTCTTGATCGAGACTGGAGATAGAGGTGGGGCAGGAGGGACTCACCCTCACCAGTAGACCGTCTAGAACGAGGGACGGACCCGTGGACACCCAACTCTGAATAATGCCCACCAGGTGGGTGGAGTTTGTGGCGGGGAAAGGGTTAACCAGAGTGGTGCGGTAGATGGTTTTAGTGGGGTTGCCATGGCAAAGAAACACTCCTTTCCTTAGTAAGAATGTGGTTAATTTCACATTGCTGCTGTTGGTACGTTTGTTGATTATACGAATCAGTTGAGATTGTAATTGCTCCTCAATGCGAAGAGCTTTCTCGACCTGTATAGATGGACAAAGAAAGAAAAAAGAGAAGCAAGGGTATACAGTTAGCTATAGCTACAACCAGGGCACACAGTCAGTAATAATATGCGAGCGCATCAAGTAAAAATAGGGACTATGACACACAGGGACAAGTTTGAGTTTGTGAATGAATTATCATGTTATGTAGTATATACAACGAATAGAGAATTTGCATGCGCGATATGGCGACGATTAGCCACACCAGAACCACGCGAGAGCATTACGCGCAACGCGCATTGCGCTCTACGTAAGGGATTTCCCCTCCGCCCGTGTGCGTACACAGCTAGGGAAACATGTGGCGAACACCCTATTTTTACTTGATGCGTTCACATATGTTATAGAGTTAATATAGCATTCTCTAAATTGATGCCATTTAATTAAAAGCCTGAATTAAAAGCCTTTTTAATGATCAGTGTTAGCTATGTGCATAGATAATAGAAAGGTAAACTGCAATAACCCCATAAACAAAATATTTCTTCTCTTATGAAAATTGCAAGTTCAAAGTATGCAATGTTGGTCTCATGGAGTTTTTTATAACTCATATAGCGTTTATATCAATTCTTTTTCACATGGCAAACTCAACGTCCCTGCTGAGTTTGTAAAAACTCCATGATCCTGGACAGGTGTGTGTATAGCTTAGATGTACCTAGGACTATGAGTAATTTTTGATGGGTTATAAGTACTTGTATACACACATAAAGGTTATACAGTGTCTACAAAGAGACAATTAATTTAGTTATACTCACTCCCCAGTCCACACAATAGCCAATTGGTCCGAACTGCATCTGAAAAGTGTTCTTATCTGTAATGATAAACATTGGTGTATAATGAGTGTTTGTGTGCACATTCCACATGATGTGATCTATATAGGCATCCACAATCAAGATTAATGATTGTGGGGGTGTGGGAAGTGGTGGAAGCCCGGCACATACAAATATTAGTTATTGGTAAGCAAAGCAAGCCTATAGTTGTCTGAATTATGCGGTATATACATATGTAGACTATTTCTGTAAAATGGCTGAAATTTTCACTCGCATTTGCTTACTAGTAATGTTGTTCTTTTTTACCAAAAGTGAAGGTTTCTGTGGTCCCTAATCCTCTAACGCCATGAAGTATGATTTGGTACAGAGTGAAGATATGTTTGTATTCATCTATTCCATCATCCAGTCCTACATCTTCTTCTAGTACCACAGTGGCAGAGGTCGTACCAGCTGGCAGGACGAGCGAAGATTCACTCATCACAGCTCCAGTAAGATTGGAAATGCTGCTGTGACTGACAGTAGTTGGGAAGGTCAAGTTTCCATTCCATGAGATCCTGACTGCTGTAGCATTAACTGGTTGAAATGCGACTGAATCTGGTTTAGCTGTGGAGAATATATTCAGTTAGTTGGCTCTAATGTATATAACTGGTACCAAGATAAAACACTATGCGGAATTGAAGCAGCTGATCTCCTCTACTAGTACATTTTGTGAGCTTAACCTTGGACGATGATGTTGGCTGAAGCAAATGACGGCTTGTGATTGGACACAGTACATGTGTAGTTTCCACCAGCAGACAAGTACAAAGTGTGGGTGTACTGTGCAATCACTGGGTCATTCAACACAGTCTCAGTTCGTTGGGTGACAGTGGTGGAGTCTCTGGTCCAAGTGACAGTGGTAGCAGGTCCACCAGTGGAGATACAGGTGAGAGTGAACTGAGGACTGGCTTCATTCGGATCAGTTGCCTTAAAAGTTGGATTACCCTGAGCACGAATGGCACCTAACATTGGTGGTTTAAACAATTTTAAAGATGAGCTAATACATTATTACCTCCTCCACTGTTGTATAATCCCACAGATAGTGTCCGAAGAGTTTCAGCACTGTCCTTTACTTTACATTGATATATTCCCTCAGCTGGATCACCGGTGTTGACGTTTCTTATAAGTCTAACTATCATGGGAGCTCTGTTTCTCACTAGACCGGGAACATTATAGTAATCCCGATATGGATCACCCACTCTGGTCCCATTTGGTCCAAACCACTCCCCATCAGAATGCCTTCCGCCGGGAGGTGGTGGACGGTTTGTATGACACAATAAAGTACTGTCATCAGTAGAACCAATATCACTGATGTCCACATAGCCATGATTAGCGATGACACTTCCATTCAAAGAGATGAAGGTGTCTGTTAATTATAATGAATGTGTAAGAAACTCAGGTTAATGTTTAATTAACTAACTGTCAGGAGTCTCAATTATCAAAGGATGGCTGTAGACCCCTGTACCAGAGCTGGTGACTGCTGCCACTTGCACAGTGTAGACTGTCTCTTTAATCAGTCCAGAGATGGGGGTGTTTCCTCCAGTGGAGTCTCCTGACACCATCTGGACAGTCCTGTTTCCACCTCCTTTCTCCCCATACCTCAATCGGTAGCCTGTTATCTCTCCGTTCTGATGTCTGCAGTCCACTGACCCCCAGCTGACAGTAACACTTGTAGAAGTTTTCACTTTTATTATAATTGAAGTGGGAGACGTAGTTGGAGCTGCATGTATATATAAAGACATAACGATTACGATAATACACAGGAATCAAACCAACTTTGAGAGACTGACCGGCAGTTAATGTGGTCCCATAAACATTGCGTGCTTCTGTTCTTCCTCTAGGTAGATACGCCGTGACAGTGATACTGTACTCAGTTCTTTCTTCAAGACCAGTCAGTGTGTACGTGCTCTGACTAACGGGAATACGGGATATGGAGTTAGAGTCGTTGAAGCAGTTCAAGTTTCTGTTTGAGTAGGAGACGGTGTAGGAGGTAACAGTAATGTTCTCGGCTATAGTCCACGAAATGGTGAGAGACATAGTGGATGAGGAAGTTACTGACACATTGAGTCCAGCTGAAAAGAGAGAACCAAGCACAGTGAAGAGCAGTGAGTAAGATATTAGAGCTGCTTTGAGTAGGAGTCAGGGGCCCAAAACTCACTTGTAGTTTCCGTAAGAGTACTAAAGTATGGTCCAGTGCCGGCAAAATTAACTCCTGCAACTCGTACCGTGTAGAGTGTGGATGGAATAAGTCTAAAAACAGTGGCCTCTCGGGCATCACTACCAACGTTAACCGTTTCCTCAACAGTTCCATTGCTTATAACATGTACTGTGTATCCAATTATTTCTCCATTACGGTGGGCACAAGGCACTTGGTCCCAGTTTACTGTGATGCTAGTAGGAGTGATGGTACCAGGTCTTACTGAGGTAGGAGCCCCAGATGGAGCTGCAAACGGCACAGATAAGAGTCAGGGATAATGTAAACAGTAGCTCTTTCTCACCATCTTCTTCAGTCATTGCAGCCACTGTATTGCTAACTTGACCAATACCAGCTGCATTTAGTAGTCTAACAGTTATGGCATATCTGTTTCCTGGCTCTACACCAGTTATCGTATAGTTAGAGAAAAGGCCCCTCTCCTCAATTTTACGTTGATTAACATCAGAACAGCCAATTGAAACGTTTCTCCACCACTGTATGATAAACCCAGTCACCACAGAGCCTCTTGGAACAATACCAGTTATGGTGATTGATGTGGTAGTGGTTGTTGGAGACATGTGAAGAACTGGGGCTTGGAACGGAACTGGGGATGAGGGATGACACGTCGTTAGAAATAAATTACCACAAACGTTGACATACCCAAACCAGTAGAAATTGTCTGCACAGGCTCACTAGGTAGACCAACAGATGACATTCCTACAATGAGTATAGCATAGGTTTCTCCACTCCTTAGTCGAGTCAGTGTAAAAATGCTGGTAGAGCTTCCACTAATAGTGACACTTCCCCTACGACTGCCACCATTGTAGGAGATCCTGTAGCCAGTGGTATCTCCCAGTGGAGAGGGAGGAGTCCAGGTCACTGTGATACTAGTCGGACCATCCTGGACTGCTGTCACGTTAGTGGGAGGGAAAGAAGCTGCAAAAAGCAATAGATTATAGTAATAGTAAATGTGAAGAAGCCTTTCTGGCAATAGTTACTTTGTACACTGATACTGGCAGAAGCAGTGGTTGGCTTGTGATTGGCCACAGTACACGTGTATAGTCCAGGCAATCTCCCAGTCACAGTCAGAGTGTGGGTGTACTGTGCAGTCACTGGGTCATTAAACACAGTCTGGGTTCCTTGGGTGACAGTGGTGGAGTCTCTGGTCCAAGTCACTTCTGTAGCAGGTCCACCAGTGGAGATACAGGTTAGGGTGAACCGAGGACTGGATTCATTGAGATCAGAGTCCAGAGTGAGTGACATTCCTCCAGATATTGAGATGTATCCTAAAATTACAGTCCCATAATGTCAGTGAAATAACGAATATACAGTGACTACATAGTTATGACACACATTATCTATACCTGGGAAAACCATGAATGAAACAAAGTAAACAAACCAGGACTAATAATCTTCAATACAACACAAAGGCAAACCTCAAACCACTGTGCTATGGCACAGAGCATACTTTCACTCAGTATGTAGGGGTAATTAAACCTCGGCGCGCATGCGCAACGAGGGCCGTCTGCTGTCTGTCTTTACCGCAACAAGACAACAAAATAACCCTGCCCGCCCATCAATTAGCGGTACCGCGCATGCGCAGTTCGCCGAGGGTCGGTTTGCAACTGCACACCCAGGACAACTCTATTTTTTTCTAAGAAAAAGTAGAGCTGCCCTAGGTTGGATTCGAACCCACGTTACTCTGCTTTCTAGGCGAGTGCTCTAAATGATAGCTTAGTCTTATCATAATTATGTAAATGTCAAGAACACAGCTTAGCGGAGAACATACCCCCACTGCTAGTGTATAGTCCCACGTAAACTGTTGCCCTAATTGATCTGTCAGTATCATCATGGACAGCATTAGTTGGAATGTCACAGTGATAGATACCAGGTCGTGTACTAGCATTGCTCATACGACGTAGATCAACTCTCTCAGCTGTATGAGCCTCAATAATGTCACCATCTCCAGGATATGGCAGACTAGTTCCATCAGGGAAGTACCAGTCTCCCCTGTGAGGACCCTGAACATAACTGCAACAGGTGCTCAGGTCAGTGATACACTGAACACTGTCACTACCACTGGTCCCCACTTGACTGAGGTCCACATAGGAATGGTTGGCCAGAGTCTGGCCATCGAAGGAGACATAAGGAAAGGTTTGAGAGTGAACCAGAGACCAGAACAGCCCCTGGAGTAACAGAACAAATATAGCCATTTTCCAAGAACTAACTACACTAGAGCTATCACAAGTCACTTGTTGCAGATTGAAAACCACAGGTAGCTATGGCTGGCTAACAAATAGCAGTGAGCATGTTTTACGCATCCTACACAAACAGTAGCATTCCACATAGTAACTGTTACCACAAGCACAGAATTGGGTCAACATGTGTACTAGCTCGAAATTTTTGGTGAGTCTGGCCTGATGATATGACATCTTTAGGACCAAGTTTCAGGACAAAAGTTACCAGAAGCTCTTTCCCCTTTTGAGTGGAGCGGATTGGTACAAGACTAGCTACAATGCTTTCTGGAGCACTTCACTGTTCCGTACCCATTGAACTGCAGTGTACGAGGTTTGTTCAAATATAGACAAGTTGAAGACAAGATCGGCACTTCCACTTACGCCAATTTCCGTCTCAGATTCACTTCCACACACACATTATTAACGTGATATCCACAGCCATTTTCATTAAAAGTGTTGCGTGTGCATAATGTATACACAGAAGAAAAACTGAGCACTAAGTACGAATCCCAGTGATGTTATTGTGTGGACTAGACTACTTCATATACATCTGCATTTGGGATTTAGTACTTTTGAGAACTGATAGCTATTGCTATAAACGTCAGCCAGTTACATACATACATACACCAGTCAACTCTCTTGTGGGAGTAGCTAATTTAAACAAGCAATATTCATAAGCCCATCTCAAACTCTGGTCTAGAGTGTTAGCTACCATACTTTTAAATGTTAGCTACCATCTCTGGTAGCTAATGTTAGTCCATTGTTGTACATCAGTATTATTATAAAAATAATTATAAGGTGGCAGTAAACTTTAGCTCACTGCAGGCAGTCAGAGTCCCACTTGTGGGAAATTTCATTCATAGATCCTTTTGCACCTCGTGACTTGTGCATAGTCTACGTTTTATCAGGCATAGTGCAATTACCGCAAGTGTTTGTACGCCAGTGTGCCACAGGCTATGATTATAGTGTGAAGTACTAACTACCGCGTTCACCTTTTAGTAGCTACAGGGAGAGGCGAGAATCGTGCAGTTAAACACTCAATTTATGATGTATCATTTCTCAAACTAAAGTGCAAACCCTCGGCGCAAAACGCGCGCGTTGTAGCATTTTTTTCCTGTATGCTGGGCCATGCGTCATTGACGGAGCCTGTAACATGAGTCTCGCCGTAAGTTGTATCAGAGGGCAGCGGTAGAGCAATTGCTCAGGTGTTTCAGAGACTCTCATATTTGCTTTATTCAATCTATCTGCTCTTCTGTGTTTCAATGCTTGCGACATAGCCAGACGTTTTATAGATGGGAGACATGGCCGCATCCACAAACTGCTCTTCTCACGTGAACTAGCGTATTATGCTACATTGCGGACATACCTTGCTCAGCCATTGAAAAAACAAAGAGAACAGAGATCAAAACTGACAGAGGAGAGATACTCAAGAAAAACTGCTTGCCCGTGGATTCTATACAACCACGTGGCGTATGCGCATGCTCCGGCGAAAAAATGCGTGCGCGCTATAAAGCCTGCCGCGAGGGCGCGTGCGCGATCGACCGCTCGTTGCTGGTTTTCACGCCATACGCAGTAGTTCAGGAAAATCGCCACATTATTGTTCATGTTCTCGTTGTTCAAACCCGTTGGTGCCACTCATTGGCCGCCTCGTAGCCTGCAGTGCGCGTGGGCAAACAGACACATCGCTGGGCATGCGCGCCGATGGTTAATCACGAGGGGCGGGGCGGCCCTTAATTTCGCGCGTAGTTCGAAAGGTGAAGTGCATCATCATGCATGCGTGCACTCTGCACTATTGATTTGCACCCATACTTCCCCCCTTGCACGCTCTCATATTTCGTACAGTTGCTAATATGAACGGCATGGATCATGTAGGCAACTGCCTCAAATTTAAGACGAAATTCTTCTTCTGTTGCGGCTTGACGGCCGTGGCGCTGCTTCTGCTGCACGTCATCGGCCGACAAACTGCACTACTTAGCATTGCTGTGCGTTCGCCGCCGCCGTCCGTAATGCGAATAGACTCCCTGGGCGTCTTCAGCGAGCCCGAGCTGACAGCGTTCGTGGAGGCGCTGCGGAGTAGCTCCTTGGAAGAGATCCACAAGACACATCTCGGCTCGTGGGCAGCGAGGAAAGGACTCAACAACATCGGCACCCTCAGTAATGGGGACAAGGTCCTGATGAAGGAGAGGGGCAATAGCTACCAAATGCAGTCCGAACTATTCTCGTACTACCTCAACTGCTACCTGGAGCTATGGAACGCTCCGCCAACTGCCCTGGGCTGCGCCAGCAAAATAAACGGGAAAATGATGCTCGCGGCTCCCATGGGTGGGGCTCCGGAAGGCACCAGCTACGATGGAGCCGAGAACTCGACTTGCTTCATAATCTACAAGTACGTGGAGGGCCTGAAAGACACCGTCTACATGCCCGACCACGCTACCAGCCTGGAGGCCGTCTCCAGGTCCCCGCGGGAGCTGAACCGCCTGCTGGAGTGGAGCGACCTCATCCTGTTCGATTTTCTGACTGCACACGGGGACCGGCTCCTCGACAATAATCTCCAGCTAGCCCCGCACGTGGACTTCATCGTGCCGCTGAAGAGAGTGTCGAATCTTGCCAAGTCCTCCACGGGGGAGCTAGTGCTCATCGACCACGAAGCCACCTTCCACAGAAGCTACGCAAAGGCCAGAATTAGCTCAGTGATGAGAGGAAGGCTGCTTTACTACCTGAGCACCGTGTCAGTGTTCCGGAGGCGCACGCTGGAGAGAGTGTGCTGGCTATGTGCGCAGAGTGACCCTGCCGCCGTTCTAGAAGACTACATAAGTAAACACGACCCAGACTCTCTCCTCATATCCTCTGGACTGGAACCAGAGGACAGAACAGAGCTCAAAGAGCGTCTGTTGCAAGTTTGCAGCAATACTTGCCACTTACTCAAGCATTAGAGAGAACGGTATAATAATGGCTAGTGCGTCACCATCAAACCTTCACCGAGCATAATAGCTGGACTGGTCATACATATACAGTCGCAGTATTAAATCATTATTTCATTCTTCAAACCCCTCCAAATCCATTATTATACACGTCTGCGTCGTTGCTCAGGAATAGAAGAGGCATGACGTGTTCTAAGTACAGTATATATAAGCCTTAGGAAGGAAGGACTATAACATGACCTGTGGACTCCACACAGAAACCCATATCATGTATGGGGAATGTGCATGCCAGAAACTTCCTGAATGTGAAGCAAAACGTAAGAAATTTCCAGCACAACTTGCTCATGTGCAGGAAGAATTATGAGGAAGCAAATTCTTCCTACAAATTCTTCCTGCACATGTCAAAAATATTGAGATTTTGCAGGAATATTTCCTACACTTTTTCATTTCTTTCTGCACTTCTTGAAATCCTTCCTACACTTTTCACAAATCTTCCTACACATTTTAATATTCTTCCAGCACTTTTCTGAATGTGCAGGAAGCATGCTTCCTGCACTTTTGCATGTGCAGGAAGGTTTTCAGTAAAGTGACATGAGGTTTCTTCAGTTTATACCCTCACTTGAAAAACAAGTTTTCTTATTTAATTCAGAACCGGGATGCCTGTAAGGTTGCATCAGCCACATTCTTCTCCCATTTGACAGAATGAAGCTCCAGTGGCTTCTACTGTACCTCTCACCTGTGGAAGCCGGAAGATGGGCACATGACTATTAACACTGCACTGTGTCGTTTCAAAGGGGATTTTTGGGGTTTGCTTCATTGCCTGGCATAATAATACTTGTGCAGGATTTGACTCTACGGCTATATTTTGGCCAAAGATTATGTAGTTTACTGGTGCAGATGCAGGAGATAGGTATAATTATTATAGCTATACCCTAACGTTGCTTACCCACATGTCACACGTTTCTTTTGGACATCAAAGTTTTCACATGATGTGAAAACTTTGATGTCCAAAAGAAATCCTTTTTCGGGAATCAAACAGCACAACTGAGAAAACAGACTAGCTACATTTAAGAAAACTTGTTTTTCAAGTGAGGGTAGAAACCCATGTCACTTTACTGAAAACTTTCCTGCACATGCAAAAGTGCCGGAAACATGCTTCCAGCACATTCAGAAATTAATGTGCTGGAAGCATGCTTCCTGCACATTCAGAAATGTGCAGGAAGAATTTTAAAATGTGTAGGAAGAATTGTGAAAAGTGTAGGAAGGATTTCAAAAAAGTGCAGGAACAAATTAAAAAGTGTAGGAATATTCCTGCAAAATCCCCATATTTTTGACATGTGCTGGAAGATTCCTCATAATCCTTCCTGCACATGAGCAAGTTGTGCCGGAAATATCTTTCGTTTTACTTGAAATTCCTGTACATTTATATAAGAAATTTCCGGCACATTCCCCATACACTATTATAATATGGGTTTCTGAGAGAGTGTTACTATAATTATTATGATGGAACATTGAGTATTAGTTGATGGAAAGTGGTGTAATGAAACATGGCGGAATCCCACAATCGACATTTTTGATGTCAACGAGGCCGGGACAACTCTTGCCTTGTGTTGCATTGTTTCGTGTATACCCACCCGTCTGCTGAATTGCCCTGGTAGCTCAGTGGGTAAGAATGCTCTGCATAAATCGCAGTGTCTTGGGTGTGAATCCCACCCAGGGCAGCTCTTCTTTTATCCCTTGGAAACAAGAGTTGTCCTGGGATAAATAATGTATAGTTGACTTTCTGGCTTTGCCGTGCAGCCTCGTTGTTGATGTTTTCATGTCACTGTTCATTGGCTCCGTGTTTCTCTTCATGTATAATTGAAGGGTCAGAGTCAGAGTGAGACAACCCTCATATATATACAACTCTTGCCGGTTTTCCTTCAAATATGTTCTAAGTATATATTATACATGGCGGTGCGTGGTTTACTGGTTGTACACGAGTGGGCAGTTTTGATAGGGCACGAGGGCACAGCCCTGAGTGGTCTATCAAAACTGAAGCCACGCTGGAATTCCTTTGATCTTACGTGTTTCTCTTCATGTATAATTGAAGGTCAGAGTCAGAGTGAGACAACCCTCAATATATACAACTCTTGCCGGTTTTCCTTCAAATATGTTCTAAGTATATATTATACATGGCGGTGCGTGGTTTACTGGTTGTACACGAGTGGCCAGTTTTGATAGGGCACGAGGGCACAGCCCTGAGTAGTCTATCAAAACTGAAGCCACGCTGGAATTCTTATTCTCAGTCATCATATTAGAACCAGCAAGAGTTGTATATTGAGGGTTGGACTCTGACCCTGACCCTTTCATTCCTCTGATTTTTCCCGTGACAGGCAAGGTTCTTTCTTCAGTGGCTTCTACTGTACCTCTCACCTGTGGAAGCCGGAAGATGGGCACATGACTATTAACACTGCACTGTGTCGTTTCAAAAGGGGTTTTTGGGGTTTGCTTCATTGCCTGGCATAATAATACTTGTGCAGGATTTGACTCTACGGCCATATTTTGGCCAAAGATTATGTAGTTTACTGGTGCAGATGCAGGAGATAGGTATAATTATTATAGCTATACCCTAACGTTGCTTACCCACATGTCACACGTTTCTTTTGGACATCAAAGTTTTCACATGATGTGAAAACTTTGATGTCCAAAAGAAATCCTTTTTCGGGAATCAAACAGCACAACTGAGAAAACAGACTAGCTACATTTAAGAAAACTTGTTTTTCAAGTGAGGGTAGAAACCCATGTCACTTTACTGAAAACTTTCCTGCACATGCAAAAGTGCCGGAAGCATGCTTCCTGCACATTCAGAAATGTGCAGGAAGAATTTTAAAATGTGTAGGAAGAATTGTGAAAAGTGTAGGAAGGATTTCAAAAAAGTGCAGGAACAAATTAAAAAGTGTAGGAATATTCCTGCAAAATCCCCATATTTTTGACATGTGCTGGAAGATTCCTCATAATCCTTCCTGCACATGAGCAAGTTGTGCCGGAAATATCTTTCGTTTTACTTGAAATTCCTGTACATTTATATAAGAAATTTCCGGCACATTCCCCATACACTATTATAATATGGGTTTCTGAGAGAGTGTTACTATAATTATTATGATGGCACATTGAGTATTAGTTGATGGAAAGTG